TAAAACTCATTCATAGGGAATTGAGGTGGGAGGAAATAAAAAAACCAAACACCTCAATGTTAAGAAATAATAAAAGAGAAGACAAAAAAAATCAATAAGGTTCTTAGCAAGCTCAGAGATGATATAACTAAACAAATAATGGACTTAATAAGCAAAATGGTCAGTGACCTTACAGGAGACACTAATAAAAGGCTAGCTGAGCTAAACAAATTGATGCAAAACGCAACCAGTTTAAAAAGAATTGGAGTCAGTGCAATGATACCAAAGAGAAATCTAGGAGCTCAAAAATTTTATTAAATTATGGGGAGTAAAACTGACCAATGTAATGAGAGTGTCAGAACTAGAAGATAGGACTGATGCAGTAGTCCATATACTCAGAGATACCTTCAAAACAAAACAAGAAGAGAATATAAAAAATGAATCCAGCAGCTGCTAGATAACATAAACAAGACTAATCTAAGATTAATTAGAATTAATGAAAACTCACAAGGCATGAATGGCATAAAAAGCCTAATCACAGAAATAATAACAGAAAAATTTCCAAATATAAGGAAAGAATTTAACATTCAGGTAAATGAGGCATACAGAAGCCCAAATAGCTATGTGTAGGGAACAGGGGAAGGGGACGTTACCAGAACCTCTGCAGTGAGTCCTGGTCTCCTGCGAGCCATGGCAGCACACGGCGAATTACAGGAAAGGTAGAAAAATGAAACTGAGAAGAAGCTGAGCTTTGGGTCTGATCAGTGCTGCTCTGGGCGGCAAAGACAAAAGCCCCCAGCTTACCACACCTTTTATTCAGTACCTCGTAACAAATGACTTGCAGAGAATTCAGTACATCGGGAGAAACAAATGTAACAAATGACTTGCAGAGAGTTCAACAGTTCACATTGGGATAAACAAGGTGTAACAAAAGGCTTGCAGAGAGTTCAGTACATCTCGGGTAAACAAGATGTTAACAGTCCAAGAACAATGAGGAACTGAGCAGATGTTTGTTCTCCCAGGATGTTTTCAGCTCCCAGGATGTTTCTTGTCCTGGAGAATCACAGCATCACTGGATCACTGAAGTCTCAGTTGTGACCCGAGGCCAACCTGGAGTTATTCTGTAGCTGGGCTGTAGGCAAGAGAACTAGGCTAACCAAATGATTTTTCCCTAGAATTATGTAGCATTGCTCCCAACAGCTATGATCAGAAAAGAATTCCATGTATAGTCAAACAACATACATAGTCGAAACCCAGGAAGTCAAATACAAGGGCAGAATATTAAAAGCTGTTAGAGAAAGGCAGCAAATCATTTATAAAAGTAAACTATTAGTGGGGCCCGGAATTTGGCTCAATGGTTCCGGCACCTGCCTGGCAAGTGAAAGGTTCCGAGTTTGATCCCCAGTACTAAAAAAAAAAAAAAGACGTAATAGCCAAAAGTAAACCATTAAAATTAAAACAGACTTTTCAACACAAGCCTAAAGGACCTAGGGTTTACAGTGAAGTGTTTCAAATCCCATAAGAAAACAACTTCCATGCTGTATACAAGAAACACATTTAACCAGAAAAGAAATTCATAGATTAAAAATCAAAGAATAGGTTACAATATTCTGTGCAATGGGAACTCCAAAAAAGAGGGAATAGCTATGTTATATTCAGAAAGAGTGGATGCCAAACCAAAACTGATCAAAAGAAACAAAAAGGTCACTACCTATTGGTTAAGGGAACAAACCTACAGGAAGAGATAATAATTATTAACATATATGCCCTGAACAATGGCACACCTAACTTTGTAAAACAAATACTACTGGTCACGAATTTCAGATCAACAAACACAATTACAGTGAGGGACCTCAATAAAACACTATCACAAATAAACAGATCAACTAGACCAAAAAAATGAACAAAAATAATGAGTTGAACAAAACCTTCCAACAAATAAACTTAATAGATATCTAAAGAATATTCCACTCAATAATAATATAGTACCCATTGTTTTCAGCAGCACATGGAACTTTCTCCAAAATAGACCACAGACTCGGTAATAAGTCAGCCTTAAGTAAATGTAAAATAATTGAATTAAGCCAGGTATATTTTCATCTGGAGAGATGGGAGTTGATGGAGAGGGCAAAAGAGATTAGCTCTGTTGGATATTCTATTCATTTCCCAGAACTAATTTCTGTTTCTCTTCCAGATCTTTTCAATGTTCTGTATTTTTACTTTATTTTATTTTGGACATATAAGTAAGTTTAATATTTATGCTGTGAATTATGTCAATCTTCAATGACGTCTTCTGTCTTGTTTAGAAACATCTTTTGTACTCAAAAAAACCGCACATTTGTAAGTTTTCTTCTGAAATGTGAATGATTCTATTCTTCACATACAAATATTGATCCCCCTGAGAGGAACAGAGAGGCTGTGTTCTCATCCCAAGAGGCACTGTCACCTGTGGGTATGTATCTGAAATATGCACCCAGGATCCTGTGACCAAGTTTCAACTCTGCCACTCTGTGATGTTGGGTAAGGTCTCAGTCACTTCCTAGTTTACTTCCTCTCCTGTAAAATAAGAGTAAGTATTTTTAAGATGAAATAATAATCCTGTGCACTGAATATTCTTTCTTGTAAATTTTGCTGGCAATATTTTCAGGTGAATTTTGATGGCCTATTTTGCTTTTTAGTAATTGGGAAATAATAATAATAATATAATAAGTGTACATGTTTATGGGCTACAGTGTGATACTTTAGAGCATTTATACCCTGTGGAATGATCAACTCAGGATATTTGCCTTCTGCTTCCTCTCAAGTGTTTTTCATTTCCTTGTAGTGAAAATATTCAGAATCCTCTCTTCTCATTCTGTTTAATTTTACTATACAGTAGTCTTGTAAATATCAGGGAGAACCTGTTAGTGTCTTAATTAAATTAACATTAAATATTTTGATGAATTTAGTAATTCTCTGCCGCAGACCAGCTGCAGTCGATGTAGGGTAGGAAGGGGAGAGGTCCTGGGCTGGCGATGAGAAAAGAACCTTCACAAGCAATGCTCAGGTTTCCTCTGACAAGTCTCAGGGTCTGATTTATTTTTATATCTTTAAGCAATAGCTAAGAGGCATTGGGCGGAACATGTTTACATTTTAGGTTGCCTTAACAATATCTAATGAGGTAAAAGTTATTTCTTACTAAACAGTATATTTTTTTTAAGCTGATTCACTTCATTGAACATCATGAATACATATCTTAAAAATTACAATTGTCCCCTTATTTTCCCATACCTAAGCAGAACAAAATGTAACTGAATCAAAATCTCTATATCAGCAGGGGTACAAACAAGATTTAATTAATTAAATGTCAAACTTGTGGTCACCAGCT